GAGCCAGGCACCTAGGAGCTGAAAGTTCTAAGAACTGTGAGCTGAAATAAACTTTTCTTCTGTTAACTTGTGGGTGTAGGGTTCTTTGTCCAGTAATGAGAAAAGTAACTTGAGGATTGCAAAGAAAATGCAAATGAGACAAAAGAAGGAATGGGGAAAAAATAAGCCTTTTGCTTGGGCAAGATGGTGCATTGCTAAGAAACAGCAAAGAAAAATGGAGATGGCCGCATGTATTGGAAAGTATTTAACATAAAACACTATGTATAGATGTAGAGAATGCAAGAATCCATCTGCAACCTGGAGAGAGGAGGATGTGTCAAAGGTGGAGGACCCGGAGCTCACTGCAGAGTCCCCTGCGAGTCTGTATCAGGAAGCTGAGGTTCTGCACAGGAAGGCTGATGTCTGCGCAGGAATCCTAGAGGTGGATGTCCAAAGGTGTAGGCAAAGCTCCTCTGAAGAAGCAAAAGTGCACCTTCCTTCTGCTTTCCCTTCTGACACCACCAAGGCTGCAGACCTACAGGTTGGTGCCACCACATTCAAGGTGGTTCTTCCCTCTTCTGTTCAGTCAGTCATGCAACCACACTCGCTATCAGGATAATAATATCCCTTAGTTATTGGGGGCTGATCAGGTCTTCAATCTTCCAAACAAATCTATGGAGAAGGCTTCATTTTATGAGGCAAATGGGATAATTTCAGGGCTCCGGGATGATCAAGGCCCTGTCACAGAATTCGAGATTCTCTCAGGGATAGGACCAAGACCTTCTCTGTGTGGCCTGTATTTAGTTTGTTATCAGAAGAAGGGAGGAGAATACTCAAAAGAGTGGAAGCACTAAAGGACTTCTCCAAGTAAGGTATTAAATTAATCCACCCAGGAGTGAGATGCCTGAGGCTACAGTCTTTATCCACTTGAGATTGGATCCAGATGTCCTGGGCTGTGGTCTTGTCTTATCCTTTGAGCTTTACAACTTCATCCACCATTTCAGGCCTCGGTATGCATCAGTGACTCACAGAAGTGCACTTACTATGAGTCCACCGCCCATCTACAGGCAAGGTCAGAGGCCTTCAACAGATGCACAAGTAAACATGAAAAGACCATTGGTTAATTCAAATTCTGCTCAAGGGTGCTTCAGAGTCAGTTCAGAACTGTGCTAATCTAATCCGCTAGGGGGCGGTGACCCGCTGAAGTCTCCTCACTGGAAAGGGCTTCCATTCTTCCAAGCACCCTTTAGCTCACCAAAAGTGGCTTCTACTCTTGCAGCCTGTAAAGGGTAGAAAGATTGGGGGTATTTGGGGGACATTTCTTGGATTTGCAGAGAAGGGATGCTGGCTCCACACAGCTACCTCAAGGAATGGAGTAAGTTGCTGAAGTGACTACAGAGCAGAAAAGTGGCACATTGCATGGACACTGAACTCCAAACCATAGCCAGGCTGGACATCCAGGGAGTCCTAAGGAATAATCCCTTAAAGGACAGAAATCACACTCAGGCCTGAGCAGGCCTCCTCTCTGCTTCTATCCTCCTCCAAGTGGAAAGCAGCTCATTTTTCTAATAATGGACTTCAACCTGTCAGCACAGCAGAGATCCTGGCAGTTCTCAAACCACGTTGGAACAACAGTCAAGTCATGTGCTGTGTGTGATTCCCTATGCGTGAATGATTTCATTAGAACCTGCACACATTTGCAGGAAAGAGGTTGCACAGCATATTAATGCACAAGCACATATTTTGAGGGAAACAGGAGGTCCAGCATGGGAGGAGGAACAGGAGATGCCCAAAGACATCAGCTACAGACGCATTGAGCTTGGGGCATTAATTTTCACACAGGAGGTTGCCAGAGAAGCACTTGAACAGGACAGTGGGCAGGGGCTGGGCTCCACTGACACCCAGGGAATAAGGAGCTGAAAATGTCTGGGAGAGGCAGTCCGCAGACTCCTTTGTATGAATTTGGCCTCTAACCACACAACTGACCCAATCCCTGGGCAGACTGTGCCCTGGGGTACCTGGACAAAGCACAATGGCACTAAAATACAAATGGGCTCAACTCAAAAGGCCATGCACCCGGTGAGAGGTCTGGTCTAGCACAGAAAGGGGCACCTCCACCACAGCACCGAAAGTGTCCTATGGCGTAACAGGAGCCTATCTGTCACTTCCCCTCAGCAGCATAGCTCTCAAAGCTTTTTCACACACTAGGCCTCACTGAATTGTCACAATTCCACCAAGTCTGGATCATGGGCATGACTTTACAGAGGAAGAAACCAACTGAGATGCAGAACAAGCCTAAACTGAAGTAGCCACTCCTAAAACGGACCCCTCTGCTCCAGCGACTTCCCTTGAAATCTTCCTAGAATATTGTAGGAAGACTTACTAATATTCTTAGCCCTTTTCCCTGGAACAATCTTTGCTTCAAGTGGAAAAACAGACATTTTATATGCATAACTTCTTGTGTACATTGTATTACCAGACCATCAAGACAAATTCTACATTGGGAAGTAAAATAAACACTACTGTTATGTTTTTAGTATTTGTCTCAACATAATAGATTCTATTTACAGAGAAGTCATGTATAAAAGATGAAATGTCTTTTCATTCCATGCTAGCAGAGAACAAGTAAAACCCACTGTTTTCATTTTGTATGCAATACAACTTTGCTGATCCCTCCTAAAATGGGGCAGTGTATGCAATCTTACACTGCTGAAATAAAGGAAATTCTGCTAAAAAAAGCAGAGCAGAATATCTGATTTGTACCTAGGAGTTGCTTAAAAATAAATGGAAATTTTGGGAGAAAAATCCCTATATTTAATTGGTTCTAGGTTTATCAAAATCAGCCCTTATGAGAGTAACAGGAATCCCTTCCACCTTGGCACAGCTTCACAAAGCACCCAAGCAAGAATAGTTATAGGACCAGGCCATAAGTGATTTCAGACCTTTACACAGCTGCTAAATGAAACTGTGGCTTTTCATCTCCACAGAGAGGATGAGGTAAAACACAGTGAAGAGTGCAAGTCATAGTATTCTTTTCCCTACTCAGAGCTGAAAAATTTACTGTACATAGAATATTCACTTGGGGTTGCACTACAAATATAGGCTGCTTATAAAACAAATGCTAAGGGGCTTCCCAAAATTGCAAGTAACGAATCCAGTATGCCCAGACTCCAGTGGTCATTTGATAGAAATTACATACAATCCTGGTGCTCTCTGGTGTCTAATATGTAGTTTAGAACCTTTAAGCAGGGGTGGGGACCACATTAAGCAGAGGGCAGAGGTGTACACTGGGAGAGGTGAGCAGGCAGGGGTTCCTACAATCTGAGGGGATGATGAGGAGATAGCACTGGAGAAGCAGGCAGGGGCCAGCTCCTGCTTATGTGACAGGCAGAAAAGGGGTTCTGCTAGATAAATGACAAGGTCAGAGGTGTGGTTCAGAACAATTCAGCCGTGGAAGTGTAGCCATGGATGGTGACAACAGAGCAGATGCCTCAGGACTCAGTCCCCCAGGCCTGCCTACTGCCTGCATTCTTGGGTCAGACCACACGAGCAGCAGCCTTCTAGTGGAACAGAGCCAGGGATTCCTGGCTGATTTGCTCTGCTCAGAACAGTGCCTGGTACATAAGTGTTTTATGTAAAAGTAGAAGCAGAGTATGTTTCCATGAAAGATTAAATGACCCTATTGTCAAAATACAGATCCTGTGCCCCATCCATCAGGAAGCCCTCCTTCGGTGAATGATGAAGTCGGGGTGGCTTCCCACCAGCAGGCATCACATAAGCGACTTTCCTCATGTCCAGATGCCAACAGTGAGGCGACTGATGTTGCCCTGGAAATGACCACGTCTTCCACTTAACTCTTCCACTGCGCAGGCACAAGGACAGTGGGATACGGGTGTAAATAAGTCAAATTTGGGAACCTGACCAGGCTGAAGCCTGAGGATTTGCATCAAACATTTACCCAGACATGCCAATTACAGGAGATAGCTCTGTGCAGGAACCAGGGACAATTATCCTTCCGGAAAAACATGTCTCTGCAGTGCCATTCCCCGGACTCTCCCAGGGTAAGGGAAGCCAAGAGATGGACCCCAGCGGAAGATGCAGCATCCAACCCATGGACACCTGGAGAGTCCACAGCACCCATGAGTGGGTGGAAATAAGGGAGGCGGAGCAACTGGAGCCATCTGCCTCCCTCCATGGCCCTATGTTCATAAACTGGCAAACTGAGGCCACTACTGGAAATGAGTCAGTCTGACATTACATCTCAGCCAGGGCAGAGCTAAGAGACTGTTTTCTCCCTGGGTCTCAAAGGGTGCGGTCCAAAGGTGATGTCTGATGGGATTTCCAGAGCAGTAACCGCCCTCCCACTCCCACGGACTCCACGAGGTCTTGCTCACCTCACCTTCTCACCTGCTCAATTCCACTCTACCCTACTCAGCTCCAACTCAGGAACTGAGGGCAGCTTCGCTGGGATCGTCTGGTCCCTTGGGCTCCATGGGACTCAGTCCTCTGGCAAGCTCCGCCCCTCCCTGCAGCTCCATGCATCCTGATAAGCTGAGTCCCACCAGCACCGACCACTCGCTGCATTGCGCCCCGCCCACTCTCTCCTCTTCTGACACCCTTCACACAGGGCACTGCACGCTCACTTTTCTGGCCCAGGCTAGTGGCTGAGGCTCACCCAATTCTACACGTACCAAAGTGCCTGGCGCAGTTGGCTCCACCAGCGCCACCTCGCTCCCTGCCAGCCCCTCGCCCGCCGCTGCTCTGCGGAGTTCTCTCCTATGCGCGCTCCGCTGTCCACAGGGCTCCGACCTCGGTGTCCTGCCCACCCGGTCCCCTCCGCCATCCCTCTGTCGGGCCAGGGGAGCAGGGACTGGCGACAGGACGGCCCTAACTTCACCTCCTGTGATGTGGGTGAACTGGACTCTATGGTATTCTTAAACCCACTTTCTTACCTCAGTGTGAGCAGGATTCATAAGACCGGAAACTGCAGAGCTCTCTGAGGTGACTTCCGGGGCAGCAACTCCACCCCCTAGGGGCGGGACCGTTGGGCACTCTATCTGGTATATTCAGAGGTCAACTTCAGGCAGGGCAGTCTCCATAGACTCTAGGGTGCCTCGGAAAATCTCCAGAGTCTAAAGGCCCAAATTCTTTACTTCGGACTGCTGTGATCCTGAACTTCTATGGCTTCCTCTGCTTTCACCACACCTCCTGCGGTCAAGGATCCCGCCCGCTCCCAGGTAGTTATTAGGGTAAACTGAGGCTCGACTGAGACCACCAAATCAGGCGACTCTGAAGCAACAAGTGAAGTTTATTGGAGCCTGGGTACAGGCGGGCCCAGGGCGATAAGACCAGTGGCCCTGAGGGAAGGGCTGGGAGAAGGATTTATAGGGGTGTTTGGATGGGAAGGAGTATGGCAGGGAGGAGTGGGAAATTTTTAGTCTGGGTCTGGGTTGGGTTTCTTGGTAACATCCTTATTTTAAAGGTGCCACAGATGACATATTAGGCTACATAAAAGACCCCAAAAACTACACGAAAAGATTTCTAGCATTAACAAGGAAATTCAGTAGTGTAAGTGGGTACAAAGTCTACTTTCAAAAATCAGTAGCATTCCTGTACACAAACAACAAACTCAGTGAGAGAGAAATTAAGGAAACCACACCTTTCACAATAGCCCCCCTGCCAAAATGAAATACTTAGGAATCAATCTAACAAATGAAGTAAGTCTATACATCGAAAATTATAGTACTTTGAAAACGGCGACCAAAGAGGACATCAGAAAGTGGAGAGTTCCAGGTCAGTGTGGGCTACAAAGTGAGTTCAAGGTCAGCCTGAACTGCACAGTGAAGCACTTTTCAAATTGACAATAAAAAGAAGAAAAAAAATTGAAGCACCAACACCCAATGGGGCCTGAGCCCAAGGAACCCTCACTGACTGCCCACTGCTGCTGCTGCAAAGTTTCCTTACCCCATTCCCCGGTGCTGTCTGCACCTCCCCCTTGCAGGACAAGGACAGAGACTAAAGTCAGAACTGAACACAGACCCAGGAACCCTGGGAAGGAGGAGAGCATGCTGGTCAGTCATGGTCACTGATGCTGTGGTGTTGTCTCACCCTGCCCAGCTTAAGTCTTGGCCTTGTCCGGCAGACCTGCTTTCCTCCTGCACCCTGGGAGGCAGGCAGCAGAGATTTCACAGAGCTCCCTTGGAACCTTACAGGTCCACTGTGCTGGGGTAAAAGGGTTCACAGCCCGATGCCTGCCCTGTACTGCAGAACAGCTTCCGTGTCTCCCTGCAATGCAGGTGTCTTGAGAAATAGGAGATGCTGCTTCCTGGTGTACCCAGAGGACCCTGGCTTCCTGCCTTGCCCTGTGATTGTGTTCTTTTTCCAGGTTTCAGTCCTGGTACTGTGAAAGTCACCATTACCAAAAGGAGTTACCCATATCAAACCCTGGTAAGCCTGGGGTGAGGTTTGGAGGTGGAGCAAGTGCTTTGAATGCCTGAGGCCTGGGCTGCATCCCCAGCACTACACATGCGCACACATGCTCAGAGTCTGATGTCCCTAAGAATGAGCTGTTATGCATGAATGCCTTTATCAGATCCCGTCACAGGAGGTTAGGACCACAGCACTCACATCAGATCCTTGTTCAAGACCCCCCCCCCCAACTCCACAACCCCAACCAAGGACTTTGTTTCCAAACAGCTTAGGTGGGCATCCTCTCTTCGTCTTTAGAAGTCACACTGCAGAGCCCGTTGCACAAGCCTACGGCACATGCTGTCCTGGCTGCCATCACTGTCAAGGCAGGTTGGCGCGGCAGCGGCGGTGTGCCCCAGCAGGAGGAGGAGGAGAGGCCACCCGTGCTGCAGGCCTCTCACTGGCGGCACTTCACACAGGCAGCTGAGGGGGCAGCAGGTGAGGAGCCCAGGGCCAAAACTTAGGGGGACAAAGGTCAACAGGTAGCCTGGTGTCTCAGAAGGGATTTAGGGAAAGGAAAAGTGTGGGAGGATAAGAAAAGAGAAATCTGCACCACGGGGGTCTAAGTACCCATCAAGTGCTCATGGTGGTGCCTCAGCCTGACGTGCTCACCCCGCCAAAAGGGAGGAGACAGGGAGCCTCCTGTGCTTTGTTTAGCCTTCTGTAAATTGGAAACTGTTCTAATTAAAAGTTACTATTATGTTGACAGAGAGTGTTGCTACATAGACCAGGCTGGGCTTGAAGAAGCTACGTAGGGCAGGCTGGATTTGAAATCATGATCCTCACAACACAACCTCCCTAAAATTATTTCTAAACATATAGTGTCGTACTCACTGTCAGGCTGACCTTATATGCCATGACCCAAAGAGGGAGAGACTTCAGTTTGGTTTTTGAGACAGTTCAAGCTAACCTTGAATTCACTATGTTGCCCAGGCTAGACTGGAACTCACAGCAACCCTCCTGACTCATCCTCTCTATTGCTGAGATTACAGGCATATGCCACCATGCCAAGCATTGGAAACCCTGCTTTACAGTGATAGTGTGGGCCCAATGCAAAGTCCTTACTTTTGGACCACTGAGCCGTGCTACCTGGTGCCTCCTAAAACTTGTTCCCTGAAACCACACTCTCCAAGTGTGCGTGGAGGTGTTTGCGGAATCATATACTTTCAACAAATATCAGCAGAGAGGAAGGCAAACTATAGCGCAAGACAGTCAGGCAATGAATGGAAGGAACGAGAGGTGGGTAACATGGGAAGGGTCAGCCCATGAGGCTTGCACTTGACCTGCACATAGGCTGCAATTCCCAGGCTGTTGCAGTCTGTGGCCTCTCCTCCTGCTGCTGCCAGTCTAGGGTCTCCCAGGATGCTCCATGTTGGTCCAGGGATGCCCATGGTTTTGCCTGAGGTGAATCCAGCCTGCTCTCACTTCCCCTGATGGGGCGGGAGCTCAGCCAGACACCTGCAGAACAAACTCAGTAGGCAGACCACAGCCCCCAAGCATGGCAGGGCAGGAGCACCCCCACTCTGCCTATGGCACAGATGAGCCCCGACCGAGGTCAAGAATCAGAAGAGACCTGGAAGGCAGGAGACCCTTGGAACGTGCCTGTGACATCATCAGCCATTGTAACATACTGGGTGGAAGAGCGCTTGCCCAAGAGAAGCCACCTGGAAAACCAGAATGTGAGCTTACACGGAAATATGGTCATTACAGATGGCCAAAGTGCAGATGACGTCATCCTGGGTTGTGGTGGGCCCTCAATTCTATGAGTGCTGTTGTCATAAGAAGGCACAGACCAGGTATGGTGGATCCACTCGCAATCCCATCAATATGGGAGGCTGAGGCAGGAGTCCAAGAAAAGATGGTATGTGGATATAACTCAGTGTCAACAGAGACAGAAAAAAACAGACAGACAGACACAGACACAGACACAGAGAAAGACAAGGATGGAGGCAGAGATGGGTGCTGTGCTGCTGCAGTGTGTCTGGGGCCTCCAAGAGCCAGAGAAGCAGGGAGGAGCTTTCTCTACAGGACTGTGGTCTGGTGACACCTTGGTTTCAGACTTCTGCTCTCCAGACCTAGGGGATGATCCATTTCTTTGTGGTACCTGGAGCCCCACAAATTGCAAAGCATGTCCCACCTGCTGAGGCGCTCAGGCTGTCTCATGGGGTGTGCGCTCTGCCCTCTATGAGTGCATGCAACTTGCCTTCTCCAGGACTTGTGACCAAGGCCGTTCCCATGGGGGTGCTACGCCCAACCTGTGCACTGGCTCCTCCCACTTGGGGTCCAGGGCCTGTGCACACGCCACTCTACGGGACACACTAAAAGGGGAAGTGAGAATCTGGTAGCTCCAGGAGAAATCACAAATTTCAGTTGTTCATAAAAGTTCCAGGTCTTGCAGTGCATACTGCTTCCCACCCCTTCCCCATTCTCTTTCCAAAGTAGAAGTGGAGCTGCATCTGGAAAGCAACTTTTTCTAGGGTTTCTAGTTGGCTGGAGTTATGGTGTGTATTGAGATCCTTCCCCAAAGCCTCACGTGCTAATAGTTGGGCTTTAAAGGTGTGTCGATATGTAGCACATGTGCTATTGGGATTACAGGTGTGTTACTGGATCATCCACTAATTGGTTTAGCGAGTTTATTTGAATATATTTACAAACTGCTGTAATATAAAGTATTGTTGTTTTAAACATGTATAGTTCTTACAGCATTACTTTTTCATACAATCTGTTGCCTGTGTGCAAGTGTATTTTTATGTTGTTGTATAGATAGTAAAATGTGCCCACTTGGTAGCTTTTTATTCAACATGTGGCTTGCGTTCCCTGCCCTTGCCCCAGTCTTCACTCTAGGGGTCAGCAGCAAAGGTGAATCAGGACACAGAACAGAACCACCCAGATGACACACCGAGGAGCAAAATGGACAAATGCCAGGCTCAAGACCATACAGCAGCTGGGCGTGG